TTATAAAACTTTTTCAATGGGTCATCATAAGTGAAGTTAATCGAGTATGGTTCTTTACAACTTAACAGCCTTCACAGTTGTCATTACTGTGTGAAAGCTCAACCAAAGTTACCAAAGTATTTCTGTACAGTTTAATATTCAAGTAATTGAAGTAATCTGTCAAGGTTGTAGATTCAGCTGTGGTTGTCCTTGAAGTATCTGCTTATTATTCATACTCTTAATCATTCAGTTCTTGTATTTATTGCTTTCATACAGTTATAGTGTTGTTACTGTTCATCCAAATTGTAAGTTATTCATTATAATCCTAATAGAGTAATTCTGTATATTTTGATTCTCTCATTCTTTTTTTTTTTTTTTTCAACAAGTCGGTCGTCTCCCATCCAGGCAGGGTGACCCAAAAAAAGAAAGAAAATCCCCAAAAAGAAAATACTTTCATCATCATTCAACACTTTCACCACACTCACACATTATCACTGCTTTTGCAGAGGTGCCCAGAATACAACAGTTTAGAAGCATATACGTATAGAGATACACAACATATCCCTCCAAACTGCCATATATATATATTTTTTTTTTTTTTTTTTTTTTTTTTTTATACATCTGTCATCTAATTAATTACTAGGCAGATTTAATATTTAATGAATATCAAAGTAAATTAAGATTATTTTTGTGCATTACTGCGATTGATCATTGGGAAATGACACATTATCTTGAGGGAAATCTAATAGTTCTAAATTCATAAATTAATGAATGCATAATCCTCATTACATCTGACATCTAGGCATTTGTTCCAAAAAATAAGGTATACTATCTATCAAAGGCAGAGAGTTGGTAGACAACCACCCAGGGAAACTAAAGCCTGTTGAAACATTTTCTTCTCTGGCAGGATTGATAGTTCTTTCTGTCTCATGAATACATAAGAAAACAAACTTCCACTTGTATTCAGTATACATTTAAGTTTATTGTCTGACGTGTTTACTAATAGTTCCTAACACTGCAGTGCTGTATGATCCCTAAGGGTTTAGTGCTTCCCCCATGATTATAATCTTAACCCTGAAAAGTTTCCTTTACAATTTTGGAGGCCATAGGGGCAGTGATCCCAGAACCATTACTGGCTTTGTGCCTTTTTATATATATATATATATATATATATATATATATATATATATATATATATATATATATATATATATATATATATATATATATATATATATATTATATAATTATACACAGAATCTGAAATACATTATTAAATACTTTTGCATATGAACTTTTCTTCTTATGAAGAAAACCAATGCCTAATATTACAAAAGACATTCCTTGCATGTTAAGAGGTTTAATGTGTATAAAATCCTTCCAGAATATCTCAAGTCTCCAGTCTACCAAATACTGTATTTCCATGCATTATATTGAAGGCCCAATGACAGATCTCTGAATGCTTGCAGAATTCAGCATTTTGATTTGGTTATCGTGGGAGAAATAGCTGCAAGTGGCAGTAGTCTCAGTACAAGACAGTAGATAGGTGCTTCGTGAAAGTAACTAGATGGATGAGATAGCAATGGCATCTCATTTGGCTGTGCTTCCATATTTATTTTATCTATTCTTAACATATTTTGTACTGAAAACCAATGAATGACCCCCAAAAACAAGTAATAAGTGCAGGCATTAGGTCAAAATTATACATGCAGACACCCCTCTGAATGTACATACAGTGGTTCCTGGGTATGTATGCCAGTTTTAAGCTATCACTAACTTCTAATGAAAGCCTTGAATCTTCATACATTATGTGTTAGCACAGTACGTACTTTTTTTAAGGACAGAAAACCCAGTTTTTTTACTGATGAAGTTAGATTTTCAAGTTTACCATGAGCTGGCTGTAGTCATTTAGTCATTGTAACAGTTTAAAATGGAAGATATAAATGATGAATTTCTTTTGATGTGACAGCATCATCATGGAATGGTTTTTGACAGTTCTGCTTGTTAAAAATGTATTCAGTTGGTTGCATTCCAATAAATTTTTAACATATGTCATTTTAAATGTAGTATGGAGGTGATGCTTTAATGTATTTACTATAAATAATTTAATTGAAAAAATATTAAGTTTGAGTCAGAATGAATCAGGACTTACGCATTTATACCAAGCAAATCCGTATTTTCTTAATAATTTGCCTCATCATCATTTGCTTAGGGCAAACTTCATTCCTTTTTATATTCTTGTTCCTCACCATAAGCAAGTGGTATCTGCCTCACTTTGATGATCGTTTAAATAATTAGGCAGAATTTTTGGTTCAGTGCTTAAAATGTTTCTTAAAGTGTATTTATTATATGAAAACATTTTGAAGATTTTGGGAGGAATAAGAAGTAATACCTTAGATAATTCACTTTTTCTTCGTCTCTCCTCGTTTCTGTTCCATGTTTACATTACCAAGTATTCATATCTCTTTGTCTTACATAATGATGTTTTTTCCATTGTTTACTTTTTACCCTTTCTAGTGATTTCAATTTGTATCCATAGGGAATCTTGAGATGAATCACTGAGTTTCCAGTCCAGCATATCTTTTTATCTTGCTCAAACCCCTACCAGGGTAGGATATTACTTTTGAAATTAAAGTATACCAGCTGCCTAAATTTGGTAAACTTTAGTGACAAGTGCTGTGCTACCATCCTGTCATGTGGTTGTGAAACGAAAACCTGTTAAATGTGTTTCACTAGGGCTGGATTGCTGGTCTTTTTCTTTCTTGATCATGCTTCCCACTGGGCCATCTCTGATGGGTTTGTATTTACTGTTGCTAAAATGCATCTCATAAAGCATCCTGTTGCCCCTCATACTGGTTTGTATTTGTATGATCCCTGAATAAGACATGGTCAAATTTCTTGGTCTATTGTTTGATTGATGAATACCCTGGATGCCTCGCATTATCTCCCAGAAAGCTGCTTGGGGGCTCATAGATGAGCCCTTTTCTGTGTGTGTTCATTTCATCACAGTTGGACTATGGTGACCATCTGTATTCTTCAGCCTCCCTCATTACTCTTTCTAAACTTGATCCCAGTCATCATAAAGGGTTATGTTTGTATCTCAGGGCTTTATATTTTTTCCCAGTTGAGAGCCTATGTGCAGAGGTAAATGTCCCCTCTTTCCAAGATCAGTATGATGTCCATTGTCTTTGTTGTTTTGTCTGCTTTCATGACCATGATCCTTCCACTTATAGGATGGTAACTGATGTTAGTAGAACTTCTTCATTTAATCATCTTCCCTATTTACTTTGCCTCTTTCCTCTCCATCTTTGTTCTCTATTGACTTCCCTTAATTTATCTCCCCTTTACATCCACCCTGCAACAAACTTTTTCTTCTTCCTTGGGAAGGCCCAATGATTCATGTTTGCACTTCCCCTTTTCTATATGCAAAAGCTCACTTTGCTGCTGTAACTTCATACCTTTTCTTGATCACTTCTGGAGTCTCTGCCTGAGGGTATTCCAGGGTTCAGTGCCCCCGCAGCTCAGTCCACAACCGGGCCTCCCGGTGGATCAAGGCCTGATCAACCAGGCTGTTACTGCTGGCTGCACATAGACCAACATATGAACCACAGCCTGGCAGATCCGGGCTGTGCTATTAAGTGCATACCGATGGTTCAAAATCCCTTGGTAGTGTTGGCTATACAGCAATTTTTTCCTGATAAAATTGTCCAGGGTCATTTGCTAGTCTTGGCCAAAGTTATTTTCATCTAAATTGTATGCAATTCTCATGGCCATCATGCACATTGCATTGTTGTCTACCATGTCATTCATAATTGTTTCAGACTCCTACAATACATTACAAGGTATGCAAAAATTTGAATCCCCTCAGCCCATCATTCTTCATATACAGCATTGGTTATTCTGCATTTCTAGTGAACACCAAAAACATTTTTTCTTTTTCCCGGATTCCTGGACACGATGTTCAGAGTAACAACAGGCAGACACATGTTCATGACCTCCCAATTTCACACTGGTCTTTTTTCTCTGACTTTTTTTTAGCAATCTCTCGACAACTTCTCAACCACAAGCAACAATGGTCTTCCACAGTCAGTTGCTTTCTGTCAAATTATGTTCGAATTTTTGGCCGCCATCTTCCCACAACTGTCATGTTTGGGAGACTGCATTCTCCTGCCTACGTATTGGTCACACACCTCTCTCATGGATACCTTGTGGAAAAACTATAAGCACTGCTCTGCAAGGACTGCCAAATTGCATTATGAAGTCACCATATCTTAATAGATTGTCCCGTCTATCAGCAGGCATGCAGAATTCACTTCTAACTTCCCCACTGCCCCAACATACTCTTAACTGACTTTACTGAAAGTCCCACCTTTAATGTAAACTCTCTACCTGACTTTTTAACAGAAACTAACTTATTGCACCAGCTGTGATTTTATTTTACATCTTGCACTCTCCACTACCCCCACTAACCGGAACTCTTGAAACACCCCTGCCCTTTATTCCCTCCTAAATTCTGCATATTTCTCCTTTAGCACATTCCTCCCTACAAGCTTGTATGATCTTTTTGGGTTTATGATTAATTGGATTATGTTATTATTATTGCCATTATCTCTCCCATTTTTTTGTTCTGTATAACCCATTTGGGCTTAACACTTTCTTGTAAATATAATAATACCAATAATTCATTGCATCTCATGAACATGTAAGAATACAAATAATTCTTCAAACCTCCTACTTTCAGTATATATTTAACATTTTTAGGTTTCTGAATTGTACTTATTCTTGTAATATTTCCTTTTCAGTTGAGAATAGTTGATCGAAGATGATGGTGATCCCTAGAATCATTACCATATTTAACATGGGTAGAATTTTTTTTATATATGTTTGGACAGTCAGTAAGAAATCATTTTACACTGTGTACACTATTTGTTGTGACCACTGAAGGTTTATAATTAACTGGATTATGTTAAGCTAGGCTGAGATAGTCATTATGTGACATAATTTTTTTTTTTCTTCAACAGTAACACGGGAAAACAGTTGATGGCCAAATGTCGCTTGTTGATTAAAGAGAATGAGGAACTTGGCCGCATGATTACTTCTGGTCGTCTTGCCAAGTTAGAAGGTGAACTGGCACTACAAAGAAATTTTAGTGAAGAACTTAAGAAATCTCAGTCAGGTGAGCTTTATTTGCATATATTTGTTTGGCATTTTGCATTTAATGTTCTGATTTGTATTTTTTAATCATGTATTGTATCTCATTCAATGAGTGTCATAATGTTTAGAAAGGAGCATTATATAAATTTAATCCAAACTCGTTAATTCAAGGGTAACTTACAGTAGTTGTTGGGGCTTCGTATGTTATTGACTGACTTTATTTTAATGTTCTGCTGTATTATTAGATAAATAACTTTTTTCTGGCTTGAATAAGTTTAAAAAAAATTTCAATTACTGTGTATTTTACTTCAAGATTTGTTAATTTAATTTTTCCTATAAATTTAGGAGTGAGACTAACTCTCAACCCTTAAGATATTTACAATATGGATAATAACAACCTCAAAGTTAAAACTGTACTGCATATGCTTGAGTATAATATGACCCTGTGTATGGGCCAACCCCTGCATTTTTTTTTACTAAAAGTGGTTCAGCCAGAAATGTAAAGCAAAAGTTCTGAAAGTGTAAAAATAGTTCCAAAAACTTCATAACATTTGTGACAAAGGTAGATTTTTTTTTTTAACACACCAGTCATCTCCCACTGAGGTAGGGGGACCCAACAAAGAGAAAAACACTTTCACTGTTCTGCCAGAAGTGAGGTGATGTCACAGTTAGTTCAGATGGCCCTCCAAACCACAACTTTCAATTCCTCCTCCAGAATTCAGGCTCTGTACTTTCCACCTCCATGACTCAAATCCACCTAACTTGCTTCCTTGCTCACACTCTTATCAGCATGTCAAATCATAAATACCACTTGGGGTCACTCTCCCCTATCTAACACACTCACTTAAGCCTGTTGGATACCCAAACCCATATCACACAAAACCTCATGTATCCTCTCTCTCCAATCTTTTCTGACCCTTACCCCTCCTCCCTTCCATCCCCGATTTATACACCTTAATCATCCTATTTTTCTCCATCCTCTCTAAATGTCCAAAACATCTCGGTAACCCCTAATCAGTCCTCTGAATAATACTTTTGGTAAGCCCACCTCCTCGTAATTACAAAACTCCAAATTCTCTGCATAACACTCGCACCACACATTGCCCTCAAACACGACATCTCCACTGGCTCGAGCCACCTCCTCACCGCAACGTTTAAAACCCATGCTTCACACCCATACGACAGTATTGGTACCACTGTACTCTGATACGTACCATTTTTGTCTCCATCAATTCCTCGATGTACCATTCACCTTTTTTTCTTTGTTAATTCTGTAGTTCACCTCATCTCTCAGAATCATCCCAAATATCTGAGGACATTCACTTCTTCCATACTCCCTCCTTCCAATCTGATACCTAATCTTTCATTATCTAAATTTTTTGTTATTCTTATCATCTTTCTCTTTCCTATGTTCTCTCTTAATTTCCTCTTTTACATACCCTCCCAAATTCATCTACCAACTTGGATGTTATCAAATTGATTTGTGTATATAAGGCACAATGTGGTTACTGAGTGTCATTTTGTCCTTGGTGCACCAAAGAAGCAATCTGGTGCAGTAAGCCTTCAGCATGTAGAGATTTCAACCTCTCAGCAGCATTACTCATGAATTGGTTGGCCACCTACTTTTTTGCTGAGAAATTTTTATCTTAAAGCCTCATTCAGTACATAAGTATATATGGTATATAATTCTTTATGTACAGTTTCCCAACAAATTTGTGGGAGTTACAGTCCTAGAGGTTACATGAAAGTAGAAGCTGAGTAATACAAAATTCAGTTTGTAGTACAAATTTTGTTTATTTGGATTTCAGTGACTATCTTTATATAATGTATTACTCTGATTCAGTTATTATTAACATTTGTAAGAAATAATTACTGGAATAAGAAAGATTTCAGTATGGGAAAAAATTGAGCCAGAGAAATGTTGGAGGATTGCATTTAAGAATATGGTAGCTCTTGTGTCTGTAGGTACTACTTTACAGTCTGACTAATAGAAAATGAAGATTTCCCAGTTTTTCATTCTTCTGACAAGAGAGTGTTCCAGTTTCTCTATTTAGAATTTGCTGAATAAGAATATTCCAATTTCTGTTATTCATAAATTAGTTTTATGTACATTCTTGAGAGAGAATATTCAAAATTAAAACATTCAGAAAATATTTTATTTAAGTTTTTTTTTAGAACATTAAAAATTCTAAATTTTATTCCCCTACTTTAATTCAATTATGAATTCAAGAATTTGTAATGAGAAAGGAATACCTCATTTAGCATTTAGTTGGTTTCAAGATTTTAGAACATTACTGAGGCATTGATGAATGAGGCCTTAAAATTGCAGACTGTTTTTTAAGGAAAACTAAAGGTTTAGAAAAGCAAATATATGACAGGATATTAACTTACAAATGTACAAAAATGATTTAACACCAGAAAATAGCCATCCATACACACAACATTTGCAGTTGGGATGGGCAGGTCACGTGTTTTTGTCTACCTGCCAGTGATATTTATGATGTCATTTCTTCAGAAACAATATATACACTACTGAAATTATTGCAGAAATGCAGCCTCTGCATCTGCAGGTTGTGATATCATTAGTGGAAGGATTTTGTACCCTGTGTATACTGGGTAAATTACATAGTTATACAGTCTTTGCTTATGCTCTTTACAAGGAAGAATTGTTGTGCCCCATTTTTCATTCCAAAACCACATTTGTATCTTTTCCTTGGTTCTCAGGAAAAGTATAGCTCTCTTAAGTAATCTCGAGTGAAATGAGTGAAAAATATGACAACTTAATTATTTTAGCCAACACATACATTCAGGATTTTCTCAGAACATTTATTAAGGGATTCAGGGAAACCGGCAGGCCGGACTTGAGTCCTAGAGATGGGAAGTACAGTGTCTGCACTCTGAAGAAGGGATGTTAATGTTGCAGTTTTATAACTAGTGTAAAGCACCCCACTGGCAAGACAGTGATGGAGTGAATGATGATGAAAGTTTTTCTTTTTTGGGCCACCCTGCCTTGGTGGGAATCGGCCAGTGTGTTAATAAAAAATAAATGTTCTCGTTAAAATTTAATCCATAAACACACTTGTATTTTTAGTTCTTAGCTTCCACAGGTAGTTTGGAACAAAGCACATTGGAGAGCGTATAAATCTGTAGGGGAAGGAAGGCGGGGTAGGGATTGCCCTCGAAAAGGTTGGAGGGAGGGGATAAAGGAGGTTTTGTGGGCGAGGGGCTTGGACTTTCAGCAAGTATGCTTGAGTGTGTTAGACAGGAGTGAATGGAGACGAATGGTTTTTGGGACCTGATGAGCTGTTGGATTGTGAGCAGGGTAATATTTTGTGAAGGGATTCAGGAAAACTGGTTAGCTGGACTTAAGTCCTAGAAGATGGAAGTACAGTGCCTGCACTTTAAAGGAGTAGTTTGGGATATTGGCGGTTTGGAGGGACATCTAAACTGTCGTATCTGAGCACCTCTGCAAAGACAGTGATTATGTATGAGTGATGGTGAAGGGTTGAATAATGATGAAAATTTTTTCTTTCTGTTTGGGTCATCCTGCCTCGGTGGGAAATGGCCGACATGTTATAAAAAAATTAGTTTGCTTAGCTCTGTTCTTCTATGAATCTAAATTATGGCATGGAGATTATTTTAGTGTAGATGGGAAAAGTTAATGTAGTTTGATAATACTTTTTTTGTGAACTTTCCAGAATTGGATGAGTTTTTGCTGGAGATGGATGAAGATACAGAAGGCATGCAGGGGACCATTTACTACCTCCAGCAGCAACTGCGGCAGGCTAAGGAGCGCATTGCTCAACTGAATGCTCAGTTAGCACTCACTCAAACCCCAGACCCTCAACCAGTTGAGGACAGTAGTGCCCAGGTAATTTCAGAAGGAGGCAGTGAATTAAATAATGAGGTAGAACGGACAGAAGAAATAACATTGGTACCACAGCCCAATGGAGATACGTCACACGATGAGCCTCAAATAAATAGTGAATCCTCAGTTCTGGACCCAACAGCAGCAATTCCACTAACCAATGGCCGTAAACGGACGCAGAGTGAAATTGATGATGGGGCAGAAATGACTGATGGGGGTTTAGACGTAGGGGAGGAGTTTATTAGTGAGACTGAGGGTTTACCACCAAGGAAACGGACCAGAACTGATGGTGAAGAGGAGGTTGGAGGAGGAGGAGAGGCGAACACAGTACCAGTAGTGGAGAATGGTGTATTAGAATCGGAATAGGGATGCAAGTGACATTGCTTGCATTATTCTCTCATAGGGAAATGGTGGAGTGTGTAAGTTCACCAAAGGAACAGAGGGCTCTCAGCTCGAGCTTTTGCTCATGACCTGTGTTAAACCATGCTGGCCCTCTGTAGTTTGCCTCCCAGGCCTAGTGGTCTTCATTGTGCACCACAGTTACTGTCCAAATTTTGTACAGACAAGTCTCATTTTTGTATAGCTAATTAAGAAAATTTATTAATGGTGGCAAAAATGTTTATAGGCATCGTTGGTCTCTTGGATTACCTTTGGGGTCAGGTCTCTTCATTTGGAATTATCCACACTAAAGACAATAATAATGAGGGTTCAGCTGTTAGTGTGTGCCCAGTCTTTATCTTCCTTCACAGCATATAATACATCCTGTTGTAGATAGAATTCAACACAGTGTTCATACATTTGAAGTTTAAAAACATGTTCCACTTTATGCCATGACGTACCTTAATAGTGGTAGCACATGCTTTTCTTCTACTTCTCCATAATTTTTTTTATAATGCTCTTTAAAATTTTCATTGTGCCAGAAACAGCTGCTTTATGGATACCATACCCAAGGCTGTTTAGAATGTTGCTTTCTCACATTTCTTTAAAATTCCATCATGATTTCATTAGGATGCATTACTAGCTTGAGACTTTTGACTTCTGTGATTAACATGTTAGACTTTCATGCCCATCTAAACCATACAATTTACAGCAGCCCAGAAATAGAGTATACTGCTCAATATCTAAAGTTCTCCTATGTCAATAACTTGCTTTAAGAAAATCTTCACTCTGAATTAATTGACTGTATATTTCATCCATTGTATACATCTGTAATAGGATTTAAATTGAGTGAATGGATATGACAAGTAAGAGTAAAGAAGTGTTTGGGCATTTATTGATACATACAGCTGAACTTCTCGCCATCCTTTTTAGATTGACATGTTTCTCATTCACACTTTGAAATTTCCAGTCATGTGTTGATAAATATCAATTTTAGATGGAAATTTAAGGCAGAAGCATCAGTGATACTGGAAACAAATATGTTTCCAGTATCATTATCCGATAAAGCTATTTATTTTAATTATACTTGGTTTGCAGTTCATAATGCTGGTATTGAGATTTATTGTGCTACCACAGGGTATAAAACATTCATCATTCTGTTTTGATATTTGATGTTCTGTTTGAGAAAGAATGCAAGGTAAATGAGTACTAAATATATCCCTGTAATAAATATGTGCTTGGTTTTCTAGTTTTTATTTTTATTTTTATATGTATTGATACTAACATGTACTCAAGATGTAATTTGTGTAAGAGGCACTTTTTAGTATGTAAATTTAGTCATGAAAAATGTAAGTAGATACTTTCAAGATTTGTAATGTCTTGTATAATTCCCACAGTGTGGATAACAGCCTTATCTTAAAATTGGGTATTATTTGGTGGTTAACACTAATTTATATGAAGTAAATCCTATATTCTTATAAACAAATATTGATAGCAAATCTTAGACCTTCATGTTTATGTTCAATTACATTTTATTTTATAATCCTTGGGCAAATCAGAGTAAGAAAAGTTTTTAGATGAGAAACTTTCATCTTGGCTGTGAGGAGTGCTAGTGTGTGTGTGAGAGAAAGAGAGAGGAATGTGTATGTATGTGACAATGTCTGTATCACCCTTCAACTTTTCTCTTTTATTTTATTTTTGGTGTTCCCTCCTATCATTATTATTTATGCTTTTGTTGTTTTTCTCTAATTCCTTTTCTCTTAACTTTTTATTTTTATTCTCTCTCCTTTCACACCTGCTACCATCTTACTTCACTCTTATCACTAACTCTGCCCGTACTGCCAGTACTACCACTCTCCATAATCACCTCACTGCACTGCTGCCCTCCCAGTTGTCTCCCTCTCACCACTATTGTATACTGCTCCCTTCCTTCCCTCTCACATTCCTTATCTTTCATTTGCACTCTTCATTTTTAACCCCTATTTCTCTCCCTTTCCTCACTCCTAAATGATTCCTGTTTCCTCTTGCATTCCTCCTTTTTAAGGAGAAAAGTCTTCAAATGCTTCTTAGGATTATGTATATCAAATTTTAGAATATATTTGTATATTTTTGTTGTAAAATTTCATGTTCATATTTAAAAAATAATTAAATATTTGTGTCCAATAAGTGATTTTCACATAGTGTATAAAGGTAGCAGAATTATATATATTTTAATGAGTGTTCTTTCAAATGTAATATCCAAAATTTAAAGCAGATGACACAAAATATTATTTTATGAATGAGTTGTGTTTGAAGTTAGAGATGGGCCAATGTAATAAATACATTTAAATTAATGCTAAATTTGTAGTGCAGTAAAAATGGCAATTTTCTGAAGTGTGTGTAGCAACAGCACAGTACGCATGCTCTAAAATATTGAACTGTTACAGTGGAGAATGTCTCAAGAAAAGTAGCGGACATGAAAAGTGGTTGATAAGAAGGGTGAATGGGAACATGAGATGGTTATGCAGTGTAAGAACATGTTTTGCTGTGAGTGATTGTTTGATAAACGATGCTCTTAATCATTTATGTTGTTTGTCAGGAATATGCCACTCTTAATAGTCTTCGGTTTACACTCCAGTTTTTAGTTAAGAATTGAACCAGTACTAAAAAATGCAGGTACAAATAAATATTTTACTTTATTTCTTACTGGTGTTTTTTTTAACCCTTTGTATATCCTAATAGAACATTGGATCTAGCTATACTAAAATATTGGGAAGCAAATTCTGATTGGTAATAAAAACTCAATGCTAAGAAATGGACATATGGAAGAGATGAGAGAAAACCCACGAGACAAAAACAAATGTAATGGTTATATATTTCAATCCAGTTGATGTCCTCATCAGCAGATGCAAAGGAATAAGAGACCAGGTATTTATAGGAGTAGGTAGAGTTGGTGATTCCTTGCTGGTAGAGTGAAGCATCATCTTAGTGGAAGGACTTTCTTGGGTCCTCAGTGCTTAACACTTTAAGGGTTACAACTCCTGCTTTCAAACTCATACCCATAAAATCCATGTGAAAATACGCTGCAAAGTCGCTTTTTTAAACTGAAAACAGTGTTGCAGTTTTTTTCTTGTGCGCTGCGTGTTGCAGGATTTTTTTCATATGCTGTACAGTGCATAGACCCATTCTTTCATATCTAGGCTGAGATTTACCACTCGCAGCTTATCTGAAGGGATTCCTTCAGAGGAGAAATCTGGTCACTGCTGATTTTAATTTAAAGGTAAGCAATCAGAACTTTAATTTGATAATATATTTTTCACTCAACATGATGCCATCCATTATATAAATTCAATCTTTGTTCTGTGCAGGGGTGTTATCATGCAGCTCATGGAAGGTGGTCAACTGGTCCATCATCATTTCCTGAAATATCCTCTTAACATCATTTGCAACTGAATGATCACAGTAATGGAATCTACAGAGAAGGTAAAATTCTGAATTCCTGACTGTAGAACTTACCAGTTGTTGATCCTTCTAGGTGGGTTCTTTGATATTGGTGAAGGGCTCTTGATTTAGGGAATTTGACCAGTGCTCAAATTCCATGAATTGAACCTGAATGCCTTCCATTACCTTAGACACACTATGGCCCCTATGGGTTTAGCACTCCCCCTGTAAATATTATCAGTTGTTGCATATCATCAACATTCTACAAACCATCCGTATCCCACCAAAGTAGGGTGGCCCAAAAAGAAAAACAGAAGTTTCACTTTTTAACTTTATTAATGTATATAGGAGAAGGGGTTATTAGCCCTTTGCTGGTTGTTGCATATGTTTACTAAATAATACCCTTTGTGCAGTTGAACTTCTTTGTAATCACACAAATATTCTTTGTTTATTTTAATCAGGGAGAAGCGTTAAACTCATAGGGGGTCGTATAGCACCTGGGGACTGGGAATCAATCAAGTTAGATCCAAGGAAGGAAAGGATAATTCATACAAGAAACTCTTAGTAGTTGACCTGGAATGTGCTTTCTGATAAGTTGCAATGTAGATTTTGAAGAAAATCATGAGCATTTAATTTCCTCCATTTCCAAAGGAAACTGATAAAATCTTAGATGTAAGTGCTCTTGCAAAAGTGGCAGGGGAAGTTTTAGACTTTGTATTAAATTTAGGTCACAGCTACAAGACAAATTATTTTTTGGACTGGAAATAGCCAGTAGGTGTTGAGCTAATTTAAGGATAAAATTAAGATTATTATTATTATAATCAAAAAGAAGCGCTAAGCCACAAGGGCTATACAGCGCTGCAGGGCAGGAAGGAAGCGAGGGCGTCAGGTGGTAAAAGGGAGATGGATGAGTAATAGGTTACGGATAACAGCGGGGTAGTGGATGGTGAAAGGGTAAAGGGCAGCAAGAGACTGAACTAGAAAGGGCTGAGGGGAGTGCGAAAAGTATCATCAGAGTTTGTGGAGTAAATTAGTCGTTGTCAAGAAGTCAATGAGAGAGTCAGGATTAAAGGAGGGTCCATCAGCAAGAAGGGAAGGTAAAGAGAGAGTAGTAGAACGAAGACGACGTTGGAGGTAAATTCTGCGTGCTTGTTGATAGAGAGGGCAGTCTAACAGAATGTGGCTAATCGATACTGGAACTTGACACTGCTCACAGAGAGGAACAGGGTGCCTCTCCATGAGATACCCATGAGTAAGACGAGTGTGGCCAATGCGAAGGCGGGAGAGAGTGGTCTCCCAACCGTGGCACTGATGACAAGAAGACTGCCAGTAACCTATGCTCGGTTTAATAGAATGAAGTTTGTTACCGAGCAGAGTTGACCAAGATAAAATTAAGAGCAGAATTACAAGCATTAATACAAGCCATGATGTTTATCATTGCTTTCCTCGACAAGAAACATTCTTATGACAAAACTTTGGGTATGGCTCATGTGATGAATGTTGTAGTAAACACTGAATTTTGTTCACACCAGGGTTCTTAATCTTGGCAGCAGCATCTCAACTGGTTCATAGAGATGTGCTACTTTCAGTGTAGAATATATTGTGCAGAAGTTCACTAGCTGAACTAACTGTACATATGTAGTTCTTGTCATCTCTTTCTAAAGGGATCATGTTTGTAGATTTCTGATAAATCTGAAAAATACTGATAAAGAGAATGCAAAATATAGTTTTAATTGTATAATGTCAAAATTAACTTTAAAAGCTTGTTGGAAAATTACTAGCATTTAAATATGATTATATTAGAATAGTGCAGATAGAAACAATGAAATGTAAAAAAAGTAAAATATGGTGTACAGAATGGAGAAAGTAGCATGTAAGCTGAAAGTTGTCACTACTAAAATATGACTAGGCTACAAATACTGTAGTAGTTTAGCTTGTATGGAGATCTCATTTGTGTAAAATGTACTTGATCTTCATTAGAAAGCGTGTATAATGCACACAAACTAATAGGGGAAAAAGGGGTGTGTTTCAAAAATCCAACGTGATGAACGTGGTTCATGTATGGAGAGAGTACCAGACACTCACACTGTTGTTAACAGTCAAAATTTTGATGCCATTTACTTACATCATTGTGTGTAAAGCCCACTGAACACACACACACTACTGTTAATGGACAAAATCTCCATGTAGCAGACTTAGTCTGTGACATTAAACATGTCATTTTATATCTGAAATCTGTTACATAAAAGTCTATTATATAGACTGGTTATAGATGACCATAATTTTTAAAGGGGTGGACCGGTAAGCCAGCGGAAGGCCTCGGTCAGATGACCAAAAGCTCCAAAGGCGGGTCATCATCTGACTAAGACCTGCGTCAGGAAACATTTGTCCTGTTTCCTGACGAACCTTACCTAACCTAACCTAGTCTATTATATCAGGTTTTGTACTGTACAGTGGACCCTCAAGTTTCGGCAGCCTTGACTTTCGTGAAATTCAACCTTCGGCAAGTTTTTTGGAAAAATTTGGCCTCGAGTTTAGTGAAAAGACTCGTGTTTCGGCGACCGTCCGGTACCCATCCGCCCGTTACTGCACACACAAAGCCAGTCTCCCACGCCATTCACGCTCAGTGTGCCATTGTTTACCAACACGTGACCATCACCCCGCGGGTTCATACGTAATAATCCATTGTTTTTTGTGATTACAACTGCTAAATAAGTCACCATGAGCCCAAGGAAAGCTAGTGCAAGCCCTTTGGTAAAGAAAGTGAGGAACACGATTGAATTCAAGAAGGAAATCATTGAAAAATAGAGTGGAGTGCGTGTTACAGAGCGTGCCAGGATGTATGGCAAACCCCATTCAACCATCAATTCGATCGTGGCGAAAGGAAAGGAAATAAAGTGTGCTGTTGTTGCAAAAGGGGTGGATATGCTGACAAAAAGGAGATCACAAATCCTCGAAGAAGTGGAGAGGTTATTGTTGGTGTGGATTACCGAAAAACAGTTAGCAGGAGATAGTGTTACGCAGTCGATAATATGTGAAAAGGCAAGACAGTTGCATGACGATCTCGTAAAGAACATGCCTGCAACAAGTGGTGATGCTTGTGATTTTAAGGCCAGCAAAAGTTGGTTTGAGAGATTTAAGAAGTGTAGTGGCATTCACAGCGTGATAAGGCATAGCGAGGCTGCCAGTTCTGACAAAAAAGCAGCTGAGAAGTTTGTACAGGAGTGTGTAGACACTGGAGAATTCAAACCCCAGCAAGTGTTTAATTGTGACGAAACAGGCCTCTTCTGGAAGAAAATGCCAAAGAGGACCTACAACACGCAGGAGGAAATGGCACTGCCAGGACACAAGCCTCTGAAAGATGGGCTTACTCTCATGTTTTGTAGTAATGCTAGTGGGGATTTTAAAGTGAAGCCTTTACTGGTGTATCACTCTGAAAATCCCAGAATGTTCAAGAAATACAGTGTCGCCAAGAGTAATTTGTGTGTGATGTGGAAGGCTAACAGTAAGGCATGGATCACAAGGGGAATTTTCCTAGACTGGTTTAGTGAAGTGTTTGGCCCCAGTGTGAAGAAATACCTCCTGGAAAATAAATTCCCACTCAAGTGCCTCCTGGTAATGGACAATGCTCCTGCTTATCCTCAAGACTTGGAAGAGCAAATAGTGGAGGAGTTTAGTTTCATCACGGTGAAGTTCTTGCCTCCTAATACCACTCCTCTCCTCCAGCTCATGGACCAGCAGGTCATTTCAAACTTCAAAAAACTCTACACCAAAGCAGTGTTTCAAAAGTGCTTTGAAGTAACCTCAGACACTGAATTGACCCTAATAGAGTTCTGGAAAGATCACTTTAATATCCTCCATTGCATAAACCTTATAGTAAGTCTTGGGAGGGAGTGACTTCCAGGACTTTGAACTCTGCTTGGAGAAATTTGTGGCCAGATTGTGTACAAGAGGGATTTTGAAGGGTTTGTAGCTGACCCTAAGGAACCTATGCCAGTTGTGGAAACTATTGTGGCATTGGGGATGTCCCTGGGGTTGGAGGTGAGTGGTGAGGATGTGGAAGAGTTGGTGGAGGACCACAGGGAAGAGCTAACCACTGAAGAGCTGCAAGAGCTTCATCTGCAACAGCAACAGATCACAGCTCAGGAAACTGTTGCAGAGGAGGAGGAAGAGAGATGGAGGAGGGTGCCTTCTTCAAAGATTAAGGACATTTGTGGAAAGTGGACTGAAGTGCAAACATTTATGGATGAACTTCACCCTAACAAAGCTGTTGCAGGCCATATTGGCAACATGTACAATGACAGTGTTGTGTCCCACTTCAGGGAAATCTTAAAGAAACACCAGAAACAAACCTCTCTGGACAGATATTTTGTGCGACAGGGGTCCAGTGACTCTCAAGCTGGTCCCAGCTGCATTAAAAGAAGAAGGGAAGTAACCCCAGATATGGACTTCATACCTGAAGTCCTAATGGAAGGAGATTCTCCTTCCAAAAAATAGTGTACACCTTCCTCCTATCCCCTCCTCCCGTCTTCCATCCACGCAGAAGTCTTCAGTAAAGGTAAGTGTAATGTTATTTTTTTTAAATGCATGTACTTGATTTCTGATTGTTTTCATTATGTAAATCTTTATTTAATTTGAAAAAATATATTTTATTTTAATATTTTTGGGTGTCTGGAACGGATTAATTTTATTTCCATTATTTCTTATGGGGAAAATGGTTTCGAGTTTCGTGAATTTCGGCCTTCGGCGGGCTCTCTGGAATGGATTAATCACGAAACTCGGGGTCCACTGTACAGTGGACCCCCGGTTAACGAACTTTTTTCATTCCAGTAGTATGTTCAGGTGCCAGTACTGACCGAATTTTTTCCCATAAGGAATATTGTGAAGTAGATTAGTCCATTTCAGACCCCCAAACATACACGTACAAACGCACTTACATAAATACACTTACATAATTGGTCGCATTTGGAGGTGATCGTTAAGCGGGGGTCCACTGTATTTGTAAATGCTGGACAGGTGTGAAAAGTACCTTGTGCAGTTGGCACAAAGGTTGTTTTCCAATATCAGGCCTTCTAGCAAGTTTGCCTAGCTGGTGTTATATTGAGATACAAAATACCTGAGCAGGGTATGTTATATTTTGTTTGCTAAGTTTAATTTTTGATTAACCTAACCTAATGTGAAGGAAAGGGGAGAGTATGTAACAACACCTGGGTAAATAGAGAAGTTGCCATATAACATGGGAAAATCAACACTGGTTTTTCACATTTGATGTCATTTAACCCTTTGACTGTTTCAGGCCCCTCTCTGAAACACTCATTCTATGTCGCTCAATTTTTGAAAAAAAAAAAAAAATTTTTTCTTATGAAATGATAGAGAATCTTTTCCCGATGGTAATGACACCAAAAGTTCGAAATTTGGTCGAAAACTCGTGGAATTATGCTCCCGCGAAGTTAGCGGTCTCGGCGACATGTGCGTATCGGCGATTTCGCCGACTTTGAGCCCAATTTTCAGCCAATTCCATTGCTCCAGTTGACCAAACTCATAGCTATTTCTTTAGAACTCCATTTTATCTATCAGCTGAGTACAAGAAACCTCCCATTTACTAATTTGGACTACCCAATATGGTGGTCAGAAATTGGCAATTTGGCCAATTTCACGCAAAATAAAAAAGATGCCAATTTCAAAATAGGGTCCAGAATAAACAAGGTAGACATTCGTGGCACTAAAATAACATATGCTCTGTTCATTAGTCACATCTCTAGGCCCCTCTTATATTATTATTGCTTTCTATTTTGATTTTTTATTCATACAAAAAAATACAAAATTTACTGTTATGCAGACGACTGCATTATTGTAAAAATGGTATAAATAATATCAGTGCACTAGTGAAAGAATATTAGACTCCCCAGTTGACGTGTATTGGATGTGTGGTGTGATTTATTTACTCTTGAACATTGGTAAAAATCGAACATTTCCGCTACTTTGAGCTCAGTTTCAAGGTCGTTTTCATCGTAAAAGTAATGAAAATCATCTCTATTTCTGTAATATGTTTTCCATTTTATCAACTAAGACCATGAAAACGCGAATACAACGATAAATACTATACGAAAATACACCTCAAAGTCGGCGTTTTATTCCAAAAAAACGATCAGTTTTTTTTTTCTCATTACGCAATGTGTGCTGCAGGATTTTTTTTATGTGGTGCACACTGACCACACAGACCCATTCTCTCACATGTGGGCCTACCAGCTTTCTCCCACTTGATTTGAAGCCGCTAGAATTATTGAGTATATATACGTCAGAAACATTGGCTCGTAAGACGTATTTATACGTCGAAAACAGTCAAAGGGTTAAATTTGCACATATTTCTTAGGAAAATGTAAAATGTGGACAAAGGCATAGCTACAGACTAGAGCACTGTATCTTGGATTATATCTGAAATCTTGAGAGTACTGTATGTCTCTATTTAGCATCCACTTGATAAAATAACTACTGTAGAGAAAGACTGTAATACAGTATATGAAAATACAATTCTATAATATTTGGAAGTTAATACTATGAGATCTGGTAGACTTCTCCACACAGCAACACCTCTTGTTGCCACTGAGGTTGAGTGGGTTCTTGTATTGTACCTGTGATCCAAAAAGGCAATGTCTTCAGTGGTTCATGAACCACTAATTTGTCAGTGATACAGTGGAGCCCCAGTTAACGATATTTTTTTCACTCCAGAAGTATGTTCAGGTGCCAGTACTGACCGAATTTGTTCCCATAAGGAATATTGTGAAGTAGATTAGTCCATTTCAGACCCCCAAACATACACGTACAAACGCACTTACATAAATACACTTACATAATTGGTCGCATTCGGAGGTGATCGTTATGCGGGGGTCCACTGTACTTGTATCCTCAGAGTTCACATCCCCGTTTAATTCTCTCGTTTCAACTAAGCACACCGAACAATTTGCATTATGTGATAGGCATCTTTCAGCTTGGAAGAGCAGTAGAATAGTGGCACATGATAGAGTAATATTCTCTGCACTGTGAGATGTAGGGAAATGAATCACGTAGCCAACTTGAGCTTAGGCATGAGTAGTTAGCGACAGAGCACATGCACACAAGGTAAATAATTGATTTTTAGTATGGGAGCACTGAATCCTAAGAGCCCCCCCCCCCCAAAAAAAAAAATCAATTGGATGAAAAATTATCTATATACAGTACTGGTGTAACAGGTCATTATGCCTATAATAATTCAACAAAGTTGTTTTTCATATTGCAAAACCTGAAATTTCCACTTATGTATATAATTGTATTATCAGTCTGGTTCATTTGCATCTCTTCATAATTTTGCTATTCCTTAATGTTATAATTTTAAATTATGTCCATGCCACTGTCATGGAAGTTTAACTAATGACAAGTTAATTTTATGTACAGAGGTATTGTACTTCATCATAAGATAAAAAAAAAATGGTATTCTCATGATATTTGGACATAAAATTCAGACTAATTTTAAACAATTTATTGAATGACAATGGGCACTTGAAATGCAATGATGCGAGCTGAGGATAGACAAAAAGGTTATCCTATGGCCACTTAAATGGCTCTTCGGATTTACATATATTACTATAAGTTGCCACACGCTATTTCTTCACATGTCATGGACAAAAAGAACTGTTAAATGTCTGAATTGCTGGAACTTGCTTAGGGTTCAGTACAGCACTTAACAGATGAATAACGTAACTTTTGTCTGTGACTATAGTAGATAATCCTACAGGGTTACTTTATGTATATTCATTACCGTATTTTAGAGAACACTCATTCTTAATGTAATTTTTTTTTTCTAGCCGTACAAACAATTTGCTGATTCACTCAGGTGAACCCAAATCAAGACACACACACACACACAATGTTCTGGCATATATACTAAGTGTTTTTATGTTTAGTCTGATCTACGTAAAATCTGAATTTTCCATCTTACAAGTATACATCATATCTGCATCAGGAGAAGGAAACGAAATTTTGTATACAGTATATACATGTATATTAAATATTATGGTACAGTATGTAGATGTTCAAAAAAAATACTATTTGAATAATATTTATATCGATTAAGCAAAGTTTTTGAGTCCGTAAATAATGCAGACATGGATACGAGCATAATTATTTAATGTCACTGCTGAGGAAGTAAGTTAATTATAAAATACTGTTACATGTAATTAGTATTTTGGTACAGTACATAAAATTTTTTTTTTCAAGATAACTAACACATTGGCCGTTTCCCACTGAGGCAGGGTGACTCAAAAAGAAAGGGGAAAAAAAAAACTTTCATCATCGTTCAACACTCGCCATCATTCATACATGATCACTGACTTTGCAGAGGCATTCAGATACGATAGCTTAGATGTCACTCCAAAGTTATTCAAGCTATAAGACCTTCAGCATTAACAAAAATGAATAAAACAAGGTGTGCCAAAGAAGAGGTGTAGTTAAGTATAAATCAATTACTATGACTATTATGATATGGCAACATGGTCTGACAGAGCTCTGGGCTAGTCAGTTGGAACATCATACTCTGTCTTGTGAATTTTTTTTTTTTTTTTCAATGTTTGTCATTTCCCACCAAGGCAGGGTAACCCAAAAAGAAAGAAAAAACTTTCATCATCATTCATACATAATCACTGTCTTTGCAGAGGTGCTCAGATATGACAGAAAGAAGACTCCACCAGGGGTCGAACCTGAGTTGGCTGCTTTAGAGGCAGCCGTGCTGACAGAATAGTTATTATATAAAAAAAAAAATGCTAAAACCCATATGGGTCATTTGGCGATGACCAGTTGTGAATTCTATTTTTTTTATGTATAGATGGTAAATGTTTGCATGCTTGTACTTCATGAAATGTTTTACATTACATACATATTAATTTTGCATAAAATTTTCTTTGTAAATTAATTTAACAAGAGAATTAAACAAATCTTGGCCAGGCATTCTTCTTAAGAAAAAGAAAACTACCCTAATTTTTGATAAATAGCTACACATTATTTTATCTATATAAATTTGATTAAAAATTTTGACATCTGCAGACATAATACATATTGTTTGGCTTTAATTACAATGTTACCTAGCTGCAAATTAATGAAGAGGTTAATTTGTACATTATATTGTTACAAATTTTTCCATCTGCACATACTACTGTATCTACATAGCAAACATACAAAAGTGACAATGCATTAAGTCTTAATTCCAGGATAGAATATCAGCAAACAATCATAATATTTCTCAGAAATATCCATAATTTAATAAAATAATACAATACTTAACATATCAAGACTAGTTGACTTTGTATTCTTTTATTTTTGTAAATGTTAAAAATATTGTACATTAATGCTAAAACAAGCATGTGTTACACTTGGAAAAATTAATAAAACCAGAGTTGAGCAACTTAAAAAACTATTAAGCAGATCTTAATAGTTTGTGCTATATCTGGAAATATTACATGTTTTTGCATGGTCATAGGTAGGGTTTTCCTAGACATCAAACTTTTATTTTTGAATAATTATTTCTTATTAGCAGTGCTGATAGTAGCCAAGTAAAATTAAAATATTGTACTGTAATTTAAATATCACTACAGTTAAAAAAAAAACTCGCTTTGTGTGTATATTAATTTTTAGTGCTTTCAAAAGAATGTACCTTTTAACAGGAATTATTATACACAACTGAAATGATGACTTCACATTATTGCAATTAAACTTTCAAAAATCACTAAGTATAAGTCAAAGTTTACTATCTTGAACTTCACCAGGGTCATCTATGGTAGACTTGCGGTCTGCAATGGCTTTGAGAAGTTTTCTACGTGGTCCAATTGGTAGTTTCATATTTATTAGATCCTCTTCATTCAAGAGCATGAGAGCATCAAGGTCTATATGCTCTCTGGCAAATGTTGGGATGAAGTCTACAAGGCCAGCAGCAGCAAGGAACAAGTATACAGGTGTTGCTTCACTCTCATCATCCGAGGGTAGATCCTTGGAAATTTTATTCTTGAGTTAGACAAACAAGTAAGCAATTTGCACTTTTAAGTAAATAGGCTTTGAAGCCATTTGAAGATGCAAGTTTAACTTTAATAATAATTGCAGAAAGCATGAGACTGAGTGAGTAATTGGATACAGTACATAAATTAAAGGAATCTATCATAAAATCACCTTGTCTCATAGTATAACTAAATATCTTCACGAAACAAACCTCTTCTTCCCAGGGCTCAGCAGCTTGCCTGTGAGTCAGTGAGCTAGAAGAATCTCCTGCAGATAAGGGCTTTGGGGATTCACTGCCGCTGGTAGCCAAGCTGCTCAATGTTGCCGTAATTGAGTTTGATCTATAAAGTTCACTTTACATTAAAATGGCATTGCATACAAAATTAATAAATATAATGGTTCCCTGAGTTAAGATTTACCCTCATAAATTAATTTAATTAAGAGCTTCGATGAAAAAAAATTTATACACATGCACTTGTGATTGAATTATGCCATCTTCTGTGTTACCGAGTCATCATGGCTCCCTGAGATGTGCAAGTAAACAGGCAATTTCTATGATGATCAAGCAAGAAATTAATAAAAAAAAAAAATAATTTAGAATTAGTTCATTGGTGCATGAATATAGCTTTCCACAATCAACCAGCTCTACTGTTGTTAAACAAAAAGAAATTTCAAAGAATATAATTATGATAGAATGCTATTAAGGATAAGAGCAGCAGATGAAGGGAGATACTGTGCCTACAAGTTATATCTGTGAGAATGCAAGGCCAAGGTATAGTAAAAGTTGCACTTTTGAGGTCTTGGAATAAATTACCATAAAACCATGTATTTTGGAGTTCAAGTTATGATAATTGTGAGCTCATCTGGAACAGATTAATAATGTAACTCAAGGGACCAGTGTACCTTAAATACACATTTACTTGCATCATTAGCTCTTTGAAATCTTATAAGGCAAAAATAAGAAGAAAAATATATTTCAGAAAGCTCACCTAAAGGCAACGGAACCAAAACCAGGTCTAGCAAACAGGGAACCTCTAGGCTGCATACTTGGTTGCACCATGCCGTCAAAGATAAAGTCTGGTTGGCTGAGAGTCCGCTGCATGGGTCTCCCACCATGTTCACTGTCACTAGTTTCAAACACATCAGTGAGTTTCCCTCTTTTGCCATCTAGAAAAAATGGTCAGGTCATCTTTTGATGAACTTAGCAAAACTAATTATCTGGTGAGCATTATTGTGTGTGTGCACAGGGGGTGGGAGGGTTGAGTCTCTGCTCCTGGCCATGTCATGCCGGATTCACTCCCTCCCTTCTAGCCTCATGGGCCCTATCATGCTTATTCTTAAAGCTATATATGAGTTGCCTCCTACTTTCCTAAGGTTATTTTCTCCAAGTCATGGCAATTATAATTACTGGGGCACCTGTAAGAACCTCAGAAATTTTTTTTTTTTTTTTTTTTAACTAACAGTTTAAAATGAGTTTTTAACTGATTTTGGTTATTTTAATTTAGCATGACTTTTTTTTATACTTGTTGGTTTGAATGATTTTTGTGTTGCAGTTATGGTTTTCAAGTGTTAGGGTGTATAGTTGTATGTTTTACTAGAAAATAGCCCCCTTCTTTCCTTCATACCATAACTTGAGCCTTCTGTATAAAAAACTTTAATTCTTTTAGTAACCTACTACTATATCTATTTCATACATGTGCAACATCTGTCACAATGCTTATCTATCCACTATCAGAGCTATTCCAAATCCATAAACGAGACAGTTCCTTACCTTTTACCTATGATTTACCTCAATGTTCCTCAGGAGTCCTCCTTCCTGTCTTATACTACTTCCTTCAATAATTGTTCTACCATACACCTGGTATACTGTACAGGCTTACTGTTTAAAATATCTCCAATACTACTTGTTCCGCATCTCACTATTTAAACCAAGTCATCTGCTTCTGAGTTTTTACCATTTCTATCTCCAAATCTTTATTCTTATTTTAATTAAGGTTTGACGATACCTCTCATTCTTTTAACTCTTTCTTTTGCATTTTTGTAATGTCCTTGTCTCTTGCTATACAGTCCACCTTTCTGTATTTTTTTACATTGCAAAAAACATTCATGTGCCAATTTTTTCTTCTTTATTGCCATTTTTGCTTCTTGCCTTCTATACCTGCCATCTTATAACCTCAAATAACTACTGTACATGGTGACATTACATTTTATTCCACACCACACCTTTTCAACATATTTATATAACCTTACCACTCAAATTCAGTATCTCAAATTTATGTAGCACAGCCAATAAAATACATTATAGTAATCATTTGCACAAAGCAACTACCTAAAAAAATATTTGAGCCTAGAGCCCTCTGAGATCACCATAGCCATACAAACTAAGAACTGACTCACAATGGTGATTACCATGAGTAGAGATGCCAAACAGGCAACTCTGAACTCATTTAGAAAGTAATGAACACTTGGAAAGTTTTATAGCTGTGATACTAGTGATGAATTTAGAGAGAAGACTAACAGCAATTATTGGTTTAAACGTAAATAATGAATGACTACTGACAGCAATGAATCCTGAGGAAATAATTGTTAATGTAAACAATTAGTGATTAATTCAAATAAATTGATATTGTGTACTGCATATACCAGGACACACAATAATGTGGTATTTTTAAATTATGTACAATTCCGAGTTTTTTTTTTTTATTATTAACACATTGACCAATTCCCACCAAGGCATGGTGGCCCAAAAAAGAAAAACTTTCATCATTCACTCCATCACTGTCTTGCCAGAGGGGTGCTTTACACTACAGTTCACAAAACTGCAACATTAACACCCCTCCTTCAGAGTGCAGGCACTGTACTTCCCATCTCCAGGACTCAAGCCCAGTCTGCTGGTTTCCGTGAACCCCTTCATAAATGTTACTTTGCTCACACTCCAACAGCACTTCAAGTATTGAAAACCATTTGTCTCCATTCACTCCTATCAAATACGCTCACGTATGCTTGCTGGAAGTCCAATTCCGAGTTGTTGATACAAATAAAAGTAAAAAAAAAAAAAAAATTATATAATTTCCAAAGTTTTTTTTTATCTTTTCATTTGACGTGTTTATTAAACCCTATATACTAGCGCTGTATAGCCCTTGTGGCTTAGCGCTTCTTTTTGATTATAATAATAATAATAATAATAATAATAATAATAATAATAATTAAACCCTATTGAAATTAAGTTTTACAATTCATTACTTTCCTGCTTAAAAAGAGTGATAATTTATTTTTATCCATTCAGACCACTTCTGTTCAGACCCTTTCTGGATCCTTTTACACAAGTTTATACAGTACATAATTTAACAAACTACAAAAAACTGCATTGCAAATATAAAATTACAAAACTATGGACGGACAAGACGGCACATACATCCAGTTGACTCACTGTTGGTGCTGCTTAGACTACCACCTGGCACAAACATAATCTCAGAGTCCCGACGGAGACCAGAAAGATTGCGAACCGAGTTCTTGCCATCAGATTCTACCTCTCGTACCTATAAAAGTTGAAGATAAAATGACAATCAATATTAAAACTATCGCATAAACAGTTATAATTTTAAGGTAAACGGATGTATGTACATAAGTATGTGTGTGTGTATGTGTGTGTGTTTGTTATTTATATATATTTTTTTTTTCAACATGATAGCCATCTCTCACCAAGGCAGGGTGACCCAAAAAAAGAAGCACTTTCACCGTCATTCACTCAATCACTGTCTTTGCATAAATGCCCAGATATAACAGTTTAGATGTCACTCCAAATAGCCAATATCCCAAACCCCTCCTTTAAAGTGCTGGCACTGTACTTCCCACCTCCAGGACTAGAGTCTGGCTAACCGGTTTTCCTGAATCCCTTCACAAAATATTACCCTGCTCACACTCCAACAGCAAACAAATCACGGATTTGAGCTTTGAAGGGATTTGAGCAAGAGTACACCACAGCCACACTGGTGTGGGATTCATCTGTGAAAACCTACATTTGTGGTCACAGTGGGGCCCATGCTGACCTCCCTATGAAGTATAGAATTATACCTAGTTGGATAAATCTTATCAGAGCCAGCTGGTCCAGTGTTAGCATACTGGCTTGTCAGTTTTAGGACTCGCCTGCCATGTATTCAATCTCACCCTTTCCCTGATATATTTATTATTTTATTTATTATCACACTGGCCGATTCCCACCAAGGCAGGGTGGCCCGAAAAAGAAAAACTTCACCATCATTCACTCCATCACTGTCTTGCCAGAAGGGTGCTTTACACTACAGTTTTTAAACTGCAACATTAACACCCCTCCTTCAGAGTGCAGGCACTGTACTTCCCATCTCCAGGACTCAAGTCCGGCCTGCCGGTTTCCCTGAACCCCTTCATAAATGTTAATGTTACTTTTCTCACACTCCAACAGCACGTCAAGTATTAAAAACCATTTGTCTCCATTCACTCCTATCAAACACGCTCACGCATGCCTGCTGGAAGTCCAAGCCCCTCGCACACGAAACCTCCTTTACCCCCTCCCTCCAACCTTTCCTAGGCTGACCCCTACCCCGCCTTCCTTCCACTACAGACTGATACACTCTTGAAGTCACTCTGTTTCGCTCCATTCTCTCTACATGTCCGAACCACCTCAACAACCCTTCCTCAGCCCTCTGGACAACAGTTTTGGTAATCCTGCACCTCCTCCTAACTTCCAAACTACGAATTCTCTGCATTATATTCACACCACACATTGCCCTCAGACATGACATCTCCATTGCCTCCAGCCTTCTCCTCGCTGCAACATTCATCACCCATGCTTCACACCCATATAAGAGTGTTGGTAAAACTATACTCTCATACATTCCCCTCTTTGCCTCCAAGGACAAAGGAGTCTGTGGAGACAAAGAAATATGTGCACCACTCACCCTTTTCTCCTCATCAATTCTATGATTCACCCCTCATCTTTCATAGACCCATCCACTGACACGTCCACTCCCAAATATCTGAATACATTCACCTCCATACTCTCTCCCTCCAATCTGATATCCAATCTTTCATCACCTAATCTTTTTGTTATCCTCATAACCTTACTCTTTCCTGTATTCACCTTTAATTTTCTTCTTTTGCACACCCTACCAAATTCATCCACCAATCTCTGCAACTTCTCTTCAGAATCTCCCAAGAGCACAGTGTCATCAGCAACGACCAACTGTGACAACTCCCACTTTATGTGTGATTCTTTATCTTTTAACTCCACACCTCTTGCCAAGACCCTCGCATTTACTTCTCTTACAACCCCATCTATAAATATATTAAACAACCACGGTGACATCACACATCCTTGTCTAAGGCCTACTTTTACTGGGAAATAATTTCCCTCTTTTCTACATACTCTAACTTGAGCCTCACTATCCTCATAAAAACTCTTCACTGCTTTCAGTAACCTACCTCCTACACCATACACCTGCAACATTGCCCCCCTATCCACCCTGTCATATGCCTTTTCCAAATCCATAAATGCCACAAAGACCTCTTTAGCCTTATCTAAATACTGTTCACTTATATGTTTCACTGTAAACACCTGGTCCACACACCCCCTACCTTTCCTAAAGCCTCCTTGTTCATCTGCTATCCTCTTCTCCATCTTACTCTTAATTCTTTCAATAATAACTACCATACACTTTACCAGGTATACTCAACAGACTTATCCCCCTATAATTTTTGCACTCTCTTTTGTCCCCTTTGCCTTTATACAAAGGAACTATGCATGCTCTCTGCCAATCCCTAGGTACCTTACCCTCTTCCATACATTTATTAAATAATTGCACCAACCACTCCAAAACTATATCCCCACCTGCTTTTAACATTTCTATCTTTATCCCATCAATCCCAGCTGCCTTACCTCCTTTCATTTTACCTACTGCCTCACGAACTTCCCCCACACTCACAACTGGCTCTTCCTCACTCCTACAAGATGTTATTCCTCCTTGCCCTATACACGAAATCACAGCTTCCCTATCTTCATCAACATTTAACAATTCCTCAAAATATTCCCTCCATCTTCCCAATACCTCTAACTCTCCATTTAATAACTCTCCTCTCCTATTTTTAACTGACAAATCCATTTGTTCTCTAGGCTTCCTTAACTTGTTAATCTCACTCCAAAACTTTTTCTTATTTTCAACAAAATTTGTTGATAACATTTCACCCACTCTCATTTGCTCTCTTTTTACATTGCTTCACCACTCTCTTAACCTCTCTCTTTTTCTCCATATACTCTTCCCTCCTTGCATCACTTCTACTTTGTAAAAACTTCTCATATGCTATCTTTTTCTCCCTTACTACTCTCTTTACATCATCATTCCACCAATCGCTCCTCTTCCCTCCCGCACCCACTTTCCTGTAACCACAAACTTCTGCTGAACACTCTAACACTACATTTTTAAACCTACCCCATACCTCTTCGACCCCATTTCCTATGCTCTCATTAGCCCATCTATCCTCCAATAGCTGTTTATATCTTACCCTAACTGCCTCCTCTTTTAGTTTATAAACCTTCACCTCTCTCTTCCCTGATGCTTCTATTCTTCTTGTATCCCATCTACCTTTTACTCTCAGTGTAGCTACAACTAAAAAGTGACCTGATATATCTGTGGCCCCTCTATAAACATGTACATCCTGAAGTCTACTCAACAGTCTTTTATCTACCAATACATAATCCAACAAACTACTGTCATTTCGCCCTACATATCTTGTATACTTATTTATCCTCTTTGTTCCTAAAATATGTATTACCTATAACTAAACCCCTCTCTATACAAAGTTCAATCAAAGGGCTCCCATTATCATTTACACCTGGCACCCCAAACTTACCTACCACACCCTCTCTAAAAGTTTCTCCTACTTTAGCATTCAGATCCCCTACCACAATGACTCTCTCACTTGGTTCAAAGGCTCCTATACATTCACTTAACATCTCCCAAAATCTCTCTCTCCCCTCTACATTCCTCTCTTCTCCAGGTGCATACACGCTTATTATGACCCACTTTTCGCATCCAACCTTTACTTTAATCCACATAATTCTTGAATTTACACATTCATATTCTCTTTTCTCCTTCCATAACTGATCCTTCAACATTACTGCTACCCCTTCCTTTGCTCTAACTCTCTCAGATACTCCAGATTTAATCCCATTTATTTCCCCCACCGAAACTCCCCTACCCCCTTCAGGGCCAGGACATCCAACTTCTTTTCATTCATAACATCAGCAATCATCTGTTTCTTGTCATCTGCACTACATCCACGCACATTCAAGCATCCCAGTTTTATAAAGTTTTTCTTCTTCTCTTTTTTAGTAAATGTCTACAGGAGAAGGGGTTACTAGCCCAATGCTCCCAGCATTTTAGTCGCCTCATACGACACGCATGGCTTACGGAGGAAAGATTCTTTTCCACTTCCCCATGGACAATAGAAGAAATAAGGAAGAACAAGAGCTATTTAGAAAAAGGGAGAAAAACCTAGATGTATGTATATATATATATATGCATGTGCGTGTCTGTGAAGTGTGACCAAAGTGCAAGTAGGAGTAGCAAGATGTCCCTGTTATCTAGTGTGTTTATGAGACAGAAAAAGAAACCAGCAACTAACTAACTTCCTCAGGGGAATTCTCATTATGTATACAGTCATACCCCACTTTGTAATTTTGGCCAACATCAAATTCGCCTTGATGCCATTTTTCTGTAGTAAATTTCAGTTCATCGGATGTCGTTATGTCAAACTTTACGTCACTTGGGAAAAAGTCAACTACATTGTATTTTTTGTATTCATTATTCTTTAACCCGTAAACAGTCCACGCAGATCTACGTTCACATGTGTAGTGCTACAAAAGTATATCTACGTTTTTTTTTACATATTTTCAAAAATAAAAAAAAAGATCAGTTTTTTTTACACATTTTCAGATGTAAAGAAACAAAAAGAAGATCTACTTTTTTTACATACTTTCAAGTGTTGAAGAAACGCATATATACGTTTGGACCGTTTACGGGTTAAAAAACATGGCTAATATTTTAAATATTTCTCTTCAAACAGGTGTAGTGTCTGATATGTGGAAGATGGCTAATGTAATTCCTATTTTTAAAGCAGGGGACAAGTCGTTACTGTCAAATTACCACCCAATAAGCCTAATCTCAATTGTAGGCAAATTACTAGAGTGAATTATAGCTGATATTACAAGAAGCCATCTGGATAAGCATAGCCTGATTAATGATACTCAGCATGGATTCACAAGGGGCCGTTCCTGCCTAACTAATTTATTAACCTCCTTCAGTGAAGCTCTTGAGGCCGCTGATCATGATAAAGAATTCGATATTGTTTATTTAGATTTTAGTAAGGCTTTTGATAAAGTACTGCAGCAGAGACTGTTAAAGAAAGTGGCAGCTCATGGCATTGGGGAAAAAGTGCTGTCATGGCTCGCTAATAGGAAGCAGAGTATGCTTAAATGGGGTTAAATCCGAGTGGGGATCTGTAACAAGTGGAGTACCAAAGGGATCAGTCTCAGGCCCGTTGTTGTTTATAATATATATCAATGACCTTGATGAGGGTATTACTAGTGATATGAGCAAATTCGCCAATGACACAAAGATAGGTAGGATAATTGATTCAAACGTAGATGTTAGGGAACTTCAGGAGGATTCAGACAAACTCTATTCTTGGTCAGAAAAGTGGCAGATGCAGTTCACTGTAGATAAATGCAAGGTTCTGAAGCTCAGGAGTGTCCATAACCCTAGCACTTGTAAGTTAAATAATGTAGAACTTAGCCATACAGATTGCGAAAAGGACTTGGGGGTTATGGTAAGCAACAACCTTAAACCAAGACAGCAATGCCTAAGCGTACGTAATAAGGCAAATAGATTATTGGGATTTATATCAAGAAGTGTAAGCAACAGAAGTCCAGAGGTTATACTGCAGCTTTATACATCATTAGTAAGGCCTCATCTAGATTACGCAGCTCACTTCTGGTCTCCATATTACAGAATGGACATAAATTCGTTAGAAAACATTCAGCGTAGAATGACTAAATTAATACATAGCATTAGAAATTTTCATTATGAAGAAAGTTTGAAGACCCTTAAGTTACATTCACTTGGTAGACGAAGAATGAGGGGAGACATGATCGAAGTGTGTAAGTGGAAGATGGGTATTAATAAAGGGGATATTAATAAGGTCTTGAGGATATCTTTCCAAGAGAGAACCCACAGTAATGGATTTAAATTAGACAAGTTTATATTTAGAAAGGACATAGGAAAGTATTGGTTTGGAAATAGGGTAGTTGATGAGTGGAACAGTCTACCTAGTTGGGTTATTGAGGCTAGGACTTTGGGTAGTTTCAAATTTAGGTTGAGTAAAAACATGAGTGAGAGGGGTTGGATTTGAGTGGGACTTGCATATGAGTGGATAGAGTTATCAGAGCTTATCTCTTGGGTAGCATTGAAAATTGGGTTGGGCAAATGTTTTGTTAGTGAGATGGATTGTAAAGGACCTGCCTAATATGGGCCAACAGGCCTGCTGCAGTGTTCCTCCTTTCTTATGTTCTTATGTTTTAGTGTTCTTTAAGGCTTAGGAACAGTTATATTCTTTCATGAGTTATTTACACTAGTTTTACGGTGTTTGTCATCATTTTAAGGCATTATGTCTGGTGTATGTCAAAAACTGGGTTACGTCACAGCTCTTGGAACCAATTAATGACATAGGGAGGGGTATAACTATTATTATTTTTATTCTTACATTCATGGGAGCGCTAAACCCGCAAGATCATACAGTGCCTGGAAGAATGAGAGGTATTCAAGTTCAATTCAAGGAAGGGGAGGGCATGTTCAATTTCTTGTATCAAGAGCCCCTCATCAGCATCAAGAAACCTCCCTTAAGGGGACTTCTTATTATAGATAACCTAATAGAATTATTCTTTCAAGCTGTGACTACATATTCTCTCATCGTTTTCCTTATCTGCTATGGCTTATTAAAGTACATTTGTGTGCCCAATTAATTATTTAAGTTTCAAAATGCTCTGTTTACAAACTTATAATTATCAAACTACCGATATAAATTTGCTAGTTAAGCATATCCTGAATTAAAAAAATATTAAATTCTTAATTCTTTTTAAGAAATTGATTGAATAACTGCTTACTGACAAGAGTATTACAAAAATAATTTGCCTTTTTTCTTCAAATCAGGAGGGATTCTATATACAAGTGACCAACTTCATAATTCGTAATTCCAATGCCTCTTATGACTCACTAGAACTTACTTTGCCTTACAGTATTTATAGTAATTAGAAGCGGTATAAGATTTAAACATACAGAATGTGCACTGTCCTTCTATACATGTATTAGTATTACTGGGGTAAACATGTTAATATAGTTTACATACCTTGAAATTATTAGAGGTTTTAATTTCATCCAGAACTTTCTTCTTACTTATTTTTTTCTGTATGACTCCCACACTTTTTTTGGCATTATTGTTGTTTGTGGTAGTCAGGTCAGAGAATTTTGGACTGTTGTAAGTATTGTTATAGATTGTGTGAGAGTCTCTTCTTGGGCCACTGAATAGAGCAATGGAGCCACGAGAGATGGTGTTCATGATACCTTTGTTCTTGCCTGTAAATAAAACCACAATTAAGCTCATGATAAAAAAAAATATTTCCTACTTCCTTAACAGCTAGTTTATATAATGACAGCAAAAGTAAAATAACTCAAAATCAAGAGTAAAATACAGTGGACCCTCGGTTATTGGCTGTAATCCATTCCTGAAGGTCGGCCGATAACTGAATTAATATTTCCCATGAGAATTAATGGAAATACATACAATTAATTCATTCCAAACAAAAATATTCACAAAAAAATATTTTTTTTTACAATTATGTAAGTATTACATATCATTATTGAAGGCTAATGCTGGCTTCTGGAAGATAGGGAGGAGGAAAGAGGGAGGAGGAAAGAGGGAGGAGTTAGTGTTTGGAAGGGGAATCCCCCCTCCATGAAGACTTTAGGTAGCAAAGCCTTCTCTGGGGTTACTTCCCTTCTCTGTCTTTTAATGCCACTAGGACCAGCTTGAGAGTCACTGGACCCCTGTCTCACAAAATAGCTGTCCAGAGTGCTCTGTTTCTGGCATCTCTCTAAGATTTCCCTGAAGTAGGACAGGGTTTTGTCAGTAAATATGTTGCAGATATGGCTTGTTTCAGCTTTGTCAGGGTGGTGTTTCTCTACAAAAGCTTGCACCCTAGTCCATATTGCACACACCTCTTTAATCTCTGAAGAAGGCACCTCCTTCACTCCTCCTTCCTCCTCCTCTGAAGTAAGTTCCTCAGCTGCAGTCTGTTGCTGTTGAAGCTCTTGCGGCTCTTCAGTGGTAAGCTCTTCCCTGTGGTCCTCCACCAACTCTTCCACATCCTTGCCACTCACCTCCAACCCAAGGGACTTCCCCAGTTCCACAATAGTCCACAGGGTCGGCACGGTCCGTGTCACGGTGAGCCTCAAGCCCTTCAAAATCCCTCTCTTGGACACAATCTGGCCACAGATTGTCTTTTCCTCCTGGGTAATGTAGGTCCTGTTTGGCATTTTCTTTGAAAACAGGTCTGTGTCGTCACAACTGAACACTTGTTGGGGTTCGAATCCTTCAGCCTTTACATAGTTTTGGAATTCATGAACATACTTTTCAGCCACACTTTTGTCAGAACTTGCAGCCTCACCATGCCTTACAACACTGTATGCCACTACTCTTCTTAAATCTATCAAACCATCCTTTGCTGGCCCTAAATTTACAAAACTGCAGCACTTGTTCCAGGCATTTTCTTTGCAAGATCCTCATACAACTGCTATGCCTTCTCACAAATGATGGACTCCACAACACTGTCTCCCACTAATTCTTTTTCCTTAATCCACAATAATAACTTTAACATCTCTTCCATTATCGGTGTCCTTTGTTTAGTTAGAAAAGCTACTCCTTTTGCAATATTAACATCTTTCATTTGTTCTTTCTTTGGCAGGATGGATGTAATTGTTGATTTATTCTTGCTGTACAACCTGGCAAGTTCCACCACCTTCATACCACTCTCAAACTTTTCTATCTCTTCACGCTTAAATTCCACAGTGTTTCTCACTTTCTTTACCACAGGAACTTTACTAGGAACTTTCTTTGGAGCCATGGTTACTTATTTCACAGTTTCACTGCAAGAAAAACCACTAAAAACAATGGTAAACAAGAGAAATGTTTGGATGTATGAGGAGAAGCTTCCTCGGCCACCGAGAGACAAAGCCAAACTGAAGTGCAAGCTGCCCCAGCCGGCGGATGGACGTGTCCAAAACTGCCGATAACTGGGCGCCGAAAACCCTCCCAATAACCGAGTTGGCTGATAACCAAACCGGCTGATAACCGAGGGTCCACTGTATAGCACATTATTTTTTTTTATGCAATATACTTAAGAAAATTACTGGTAAGCAAAAATTCTTCTTCTAATTCAGTCTTATGAAAGGTATTCACACTTATTTTTTTTTTTGAAGTTACTATCTGATTTTGCAGAAAATTTGTATAACCTGTGCTACTGGTTATTGTAGATATAAAACCATAAACCTATATTGATCATTCTGAGTTGCATGGTAAAGTGGAAGGTTGATGGCAGAGAGAAAGAAGCAAAGAAAAAAATAGCATTAAGTGAGAGCACAAAATAATAAAAATGTCTGCAATAAATCAAGTTCATAGATAATCTGTATTTAAAGTGGGCCTGTCAGAGAGGAGGGTAGGGCAAGCATATCAAGTGACTGAAGGTGAGGTCAGAAATGAAACCAAGGTATACTTTATAATGAATGGATAGTCATATTATTCCTCACATTGGTTAAAATGGGCTAGAGCTAGACACTCATAATTTTTTTTATTATCAATCCGTGTAAACATCTTTTGGATTATATTAAAAATGTGCCAGATGGAATAGATTTAGTTGAAGCTTTTAAATTATATATCTTTGAGGCAGTTTTTAACCCTTTGACTGTCGCGGCCGTATATATACGTCTTACAAGGTACCGTGTTTGACGTATATATACTCATAAATTCTAGCGGCTTCAAATCAAGCAGTAGAAAGCTGGTAGGCCCACATGTGAGAAAGTGGGTCTGTGTGGTCAGTGTGCACCATATAAAAATCCTGGAGCACGCAGTGCATAATGAGAAAAAAAAACTGACCGTTTTTTTTAATTAAAATACCGACTTTGTGGTCTATTTACGTATAGTATTTATGGTTGTATTCTCGTTTTCTTGGTCTCATTTGATAGAATGGAAAACATATTATAGAAATAGAGGTGATTTTGATTGATTTTACTATAAAAAGAACCTAGAAATGGAGCTCAAAGTATGGGAAATGTTTGATTTTTGCCAATGTTCAAAAGTAAAGAAATGATGCCATTGTCCAATAAATGTCCAACTAGCCATTCTAATATGCAGTCATGAATGGGTTGATGTTATTTATACAATTATTACAGTATTGCATTAGTCTGCATAATAGTAAGTCTTCTATTTTTTGTTTGAATAAAAATTCAAAATAGAAAGCAAGAGTAATATCAGAGGGGCTTGGAGACATGACTGATGAGCAAAGAAAATGTTATTTTAGAGCCAGGAATGTCTGCATTGTTCATTCTGGACCTTATTTTGAAATTGTCATATTTTTTAGTTTTCGTGAAATTGGCCAAATTGCAAATTTCTGACCACATTATTAGGTAGTTGAAATCGGTAAATGGGCAGTTTCTTGTACCCAATCGATAGAAAAAATGGAGTTCTAAAGAAATAGCTATGAGTTTGGGTGACTGGAACAATGGAATTAGCCGAAAATAGGGCTCAAAGTGGGCGAAATCGCCGATTTGTAAACAGCGCCAAGGTCGCTAACTTCGCGAGAGCATAATTCCGTCAGTTTTCCATCAAATTTCGTTTTTTTGGTGTCCTTACAATCGGGAAAAGATTCTCTATCATTTAATAAGATTTTTTTTTTTTTTTTTTTTTTTTTTTTTTTTTTAAATTTTGCGACACCAGGAGACACCTCAGGATTGGGGGTTGCGACAGTCAAAGGGTTAATGTGATAAATTCTCAAACATTCAGTTTTTATAAGTGCTGGTGTGTACAGTTTACTGTATTGTAACCAGGCAATGTATGACCCCTACAAGTTTAGTGCTTTTCCTTGACTATCATAATAATACTATTGTAAATGTCAAATACAGTGGAACCTCAGAAATCGAATTGCTCCCAACACAACCAATTATGTAAGTGTATTTTTGTAAGTGCTTTTATAAGTGTATTTTTGAGGGTCTGAAATGGACTAATCTAATTTACATTATTCCTGATGGGAATAAATTCATTCGGTAAAGGCACTCAAACAGCCTTCTGGACCGAAGAAAGTTCGATATTTGAGGTTCCACTGTACTGACACATTATTAAACCTCTAAAATAAGAACAGTTTCTAATGTCTGTTAGATTATCGCCTTACCTGATCCTCTATTTTTCTTTATTACCTAGACAAGAAGTAATCCAAACAAGTTTACCTTGTGGTCTTTCATCAACTTTCTCTATCTTTTGTCTCTCCTTCTGTAGTTTGGCATTTTCTTCTTCCCGTTTCTTGTCAGCTTTCCTTTGGATTTTGTCAAACTCTTTTTGTCGCTTCTCAGCATCCTTCAGTGCTCTATCTTGCAACTTTTTCACTTGCTGTGAAAGGGGACAGTAAACAAATTATCTTTGAATTTCCCATAGCTTCCACTATCATTTTTTTCCCTGCCTTGCAAATTGTAAGATTTGTATGCTTTTTTGTAGAAAATGATAGCAAATATGAAAAAAAAAAAATGCTACCAGTACTAAGGCCTGAGACTAATGAAATGTGCCTTAGATTATCAAGACAAGAAAACTAATATCATCTAGCTTTATAAACCCCTAGATTAATATATTAAAACATGGAAACCTCACATACAGAAAGATATTACAGCACTGGGAAAAGTTAATGCAAAGCAATGACAACCATTCTGGAAAAAAATTTGGCTCGCCAGGGTAGGCCAAGACTACAGCAAAATTATTCAAACGAGCATTTTGATCTCATAATCTCATAAGAGATATAAAGATGCTGAACAAATTGGTTAGCATAAACTATGACAATCTCCCCCCACCCCAAAAAAAAAAAATAAAATAAAATAAAATAAAATAAACAGAGGCAACAACCTCCAGCTCACTAAAATTCCATGCAAAAAAAACAGGAAATTTTTTGTGGTCAGAAAATTCCATATGGGTTTAGTGCTTTTTGTGAATATGGTATAATAATCACATACACTGGTAGAAATTAACCTATGAAACAGTGTTGGTTATTACTGTACTGAATGCCAGTTCAAAATAAACCTGTAAAAACTTTAGGTAATTAATACAAGGCCACTGGACACAATTTCAAGTACTGTACAGTATTGACACATGAACAGAAGTGTATGCCAGGTATAAAACTCATTACATTAAGAATATGTAAAATCTCATTACATTACAATAGTACTGACCTTGGGGTCAGTCGTAGTCTGCTTTGCGGAGACCGTGTCCAGGTAGCGGAGAATGTCTTCCCTGTTATTCATGGCAGCAAGCTCTTTGGCAGTGTGCAAGTCATTGTCTAATGACCAAATGTTAGCACCAAAATTGACAAGGAAGGAGACACAGGACATGTGTCCTTGGGCAGCAGCACAGTGCAGTGCTGTGTTGCCATAGTGATCACACTTGTCGGGCTCACCTCTGCAACAAACAATCTAAATTAAAACTACATACCTGTTATTGTCTGTGCAATTTTAAGAAGGTATAATTCTTGTTTGGGAACACAAGCATTGCACGTATTTGGTACATACATGAAATGAGGAAACTAGCTAACAGATGGATGGCTCTGGCATTATGCTGTGCAGCATTTGAGGATTCACTCAACTCAGGAAATTTAAAAAAACCCTATAAAAATTAGAGTTTTCAATATTTTTTTATTTTCCTTTTGCAGTTAAGAGCATAAGTCTTAAAAAGGAGCACTGCAGCATGCTTGCTGGCCCATTTTAGGCAGGTCTAACTCTTACTTACACACACACACTCGTGTACATAACTGTCCAACCTATTATTAAAGCCACCCAAAGTTGCTGTCTCAATGACATTACTTGGGAGTTTGTTCCACTCATCCACAACTCTACTGCAAAATCACTGTTTGCCTATATTCTTTCTAAACCTAAATTTTTTCACCTTCAACCCACTTGTGTGAGTCCTGTCGTGGTTAGATACTTTCAGAATCTAGTCATATTTGTACACTTCAAAAACATCCCCTTTAATTCTATGTCTTTTTAGAGAGTGCAGATTCAGTGCCCTCGGTCTATCCTCGTCATCCTTCTCTGCATGTTTTCCTGCTGCATTAGCTTTAAAATTTTCTACAATCCTTCAAGAAAAAAATAGTTTTTGTTTTATAAGATGGTCCAATTCAATGAAAATTCCCATGATTCAAAGTTTTAAAAAATATTTCACTGACAAATTTGCCCAAGCAAACTAAAGTGAATGGGTACTATCCTAGCCATAAGATGAATCAGCCATTAAGAAGAGGCAGATGCATGTATGTACTTTAAATGTGATGATTAAAAGAGAATCAAAATTTCACACAAAATTGTTAAATTTGTACCAACCCAAATGAATGCCATTCTCCTTCGTTGTCATCAAATTAGGAGGCATCTTTTTTGAATGTTTGAAGCTATACCACCAAAGATTTTGGAAGTTATCTAAGCCATTCCAGGATGCTGGGAATGGGTTTAACAACGTTTGTCATTCAGCAGCTGCACATGCCAGTTGTTCCTAGAATTGGGTCTGAATGAATGAGGGGGTTTCTTGAGATGGGCAAAATAAGATTGAAAAGGAGGAAGGGAAAAAAAATTGGGGCAACCACATAAAGGTACCTCCTCGCAGATACCTAATTAAAGATTACCTGGTATTAGACTAGTCCACATACCTTGGTCTACGACCATTGGTTCATATTAGTAATATTTTTAATTCATGTTAAGTGCTAAACCCATGTGGGTCATTCAGCACAAGAAGTGGTGGAGGCTTGATCCTCCGTCTGCTGAGTGCCAGACAGACATTGCTTCCTATTCGTAATCGACTCTCACCTCATAGAAATAATAGATACTGGCTCAGGTCTTCTTAGTCTGGATTCAAAGCCCATCGAACCAGTGCATGGGATCAGACGCTCCCACTCTACTCTTGCAGTACTCTGTACCATGTGCACATTTAACAAGGATTTTTTACATGCTTAAAACCCACAATAATCGTGCCCGGACATCAAAATCAAGCACCTTTCTTTTATATTTTTATCTTGCTTTCAGACCGCATTATTTACTTCACACCTTAGCTCTTGATCTAAGGGACTGGATATATACCACATAAGAGGGTCCTGCTCGCAGGTCACTTGCAGAGGTCACCGGACCTAACTGTTTGTGACTTCTTTCATTGGGGGTACGTGAAGAACACAGTTTATGTACCACCACTACCTGCAACCCTGGAGGAGCTGAAAATTTCCATCAGTGAAGCAGTTCGCATGATAACACCAGATATGATGCCGAGCGTCTGGACCGAACTGTACTATCATATCGATGTTTACCGAGCAACCAGAGGGGCGCACATTGAGTGCCTTTAATGCTGAAACTGAAATGAAATCTTGCATCTGAAGCTGCTAACTGTGAAAGATTATTGCAATAAAGTTACATCTTATACCTGTTTGAAATCAGGGAGTGTTTTTGTGGACACCATGTATGTCTGCCTGTGTTCGTGTGTGTGTGTATACTCACCTATTTGTACTCGCCTATTTGTGGTTGCAGGGGTCGAGTCATAGCTCCTGGCCCCGCCTCTTCGCTGATTGCTACTAGGTCCTCTCTCTCCCTGCCCCATGAGCTTTATCATACCTCGCCTTAAAACTATGTATGGTTCCCGCCTCCACTACGTCACTTCCTAGGCTATTCCACGGCCTGACTACTCTATGATTGAAGAAATACTTCCTAACATCCCTTTGATTCATCTGAGTCTTCAACTTCCAATTGTGACCTCTTGTGTCTGTGTCCCTTCTCTGGAACATCCCGTCTTTGTCCACCTTGTCTATTCTGCTCAGTATTTTATATGTCGTTATCATGTCTCCCCTGACCCTCCTGTCCTCCTTGTCGTCAGGCCGTTTTCCCCTAAACCTTTCTTCGTAGGACAATCCCCGTATTTCTGGACTAACTAGGTTGTTGAAAACCCTTTGCACTTTCTCTAATTTTTTTGGCGTGCTTGACAGGTGGGTTTTCCAACGGGTGCGCATACTCCAGTAGGGCCTGACTAAATGGTTCCAGTCTTTTGAACAAACCCTTTTACTGAGGTACGGAACGTATCCGTGGGTTTCCCCAGGCGCCCGTATGCTGCAGCAGTTATCGATTGATGTGCGCCCCAGGAATATCTCGGTGTTATACTAAAACCCCCAATCCTTTTTCCCTTGAGTGAGGTTTGCAGTTTTTGGCCATCTAAACAAATTTTGTGTCTGATCTTCTTTGCCCTTCCCCAATCTTCTTTGACTTTGCTTTTTGGGCAGTTTTTAACTCAAGGAGCCATTGCTGGACCACGCTTCCAGCCTGTCCAGGTCTCTTTGTAGCCCTCCTGATCCTCACCCGATTTGATTCTTCTTATTAACTTCACTCATCTGCAAACAAGGACACTTCTGATCTACCCCCTTCCTTATGGTTCACATATCCAAGAACAACACAGGTCCTGGGACGCCCCCTGTGGAACCCCGCTTGTCACAAGCTCCCACTCTGAACCTCGTCATGTACCGACTCGTTTTTGCTTCCCTGTCAGGTATTCTTGATCCATTGCAGTGCCTTTCCTGTTTTTGTGCCTGATCATCAGCTTTTTCATAAACCCCTTTGGGAACTGTGTCGAAGGCCTTTTGCAGTCCAAAAAATTGCAGTCGTCCCCCCCTCTCCCTTTTTATTCTGTCACCTTTCATAAAACCGTAGGTTTGTGACACAGGGTTTCCTTCCCCGAAACCGTGCTGGTTGTCAAATTTTACACTTGTTTCTTTCCAGGGGCTCCCCCACTCTCCTCCGTGATCTTCTCCATGACCTTTCATACTATACCGTTTTGTGATACAGGTCTGTATTTATGCCTATGCTGTCTCCCTTTTTAAAAATTTGGGACTACATTTGCCATTTCCATACCCCAGGGAAAATTTCCCAGTTTCAAAAAGATTTTTTTGAAGACTTTTTAATGGCACATCAAAATCTCTGCTCCCCCTTTAAGGACCCACGGAGAGATGTTGTCTGGTCCCACCGCCTTTAAGGTGTCAAGTTCGCATAGCAGCTTCTTCACTTCCTCCTTGGTTATATGTACCTCATCCAGCACTTGCTGGTGTACCCCCCTGTTCTGATTTCCTGGAGTCCTACTGGTTTCCACTGTAAATACTTTTTTAAATCTCGTGTTGAGCTCCTGACATACCTCTCGGTCGTTTCTTGTGAATTCCTCAGTCTGATTACCTGGTCCTTGACTGTTGTTTTCCTCCTGATGTGGCTGTACAACAGCTTTGGGTCAGTCTTGACTTTCGATGCTATGTCATTTTCATATTGTCGTGTGTGTGTGTGTGTGTGTGTGTGTGTGTGTGTGTGTGTGGGTGTGTGTGTGTGTGTGTGTGTGTGTGTGTGTGTGTATATATGTATGTATGTATATATGTATGTATATATGTATGTATATATGTTTGGGTGTGCCAGGTGTAAATGATAATGGGAGCCCTTTGATTGAACTTTGTATAGAAAGGGGTTTAGTTATAGGTAATACATATTTTAAGAAAAAGAGGATAAATAAGTATACACGATATGATGTAGGGCGAAATGACAGTAGTTTGTTGGATTATGTATTGTAGATAAAAGACTGTTGAGTAGACTTCAGATGTACATGTTTATAGAGGGGCCACAGATATATCAATCACTTTCTAGTTGTAGCTACACTGAAGTAAAAGGTAGATGGGATACAAGGAGAATAGAAGCATCAGGGAAGAGAGAGGTGAAGGTTTATAAACTAAAAGAGGAGGCAGTTAGGGTAAGATATAAACAGCTATTGGAGGATAGATGGCTAATGAGAGCATAGCAATGGGGTCGAAGAGTATGGGGTAGGTTTAAAAATGTAGTGTATAGAGTGTTCAGCAGAAGTTTGTGGTTACAGGAAAGTGGGTGCAGGAGGGAAGAGGAGCGATTGGTGGAATGATGATGTAAAGAGAGTAGTAAGGGAGAAAAAGTTAGCATATGAGAAGTTTTTACAAAGTAGAAGTATGCAAGGAGGAAAGAGTATATGGAGAAAAAGAGAGAAGTTAAGAGAGTGGTGAAGCAATGTAAAAAGAGAGCAAATGAGAGAGTGGGTGAGATGTTATCAACAAATTTTGTTGAAAAATAAGAAAAAGTTTTGGAGTGAGATTAACAAAGTTAAGAAAGCCTAGAGAACAAATGAATTGTCAGTTAAAAATAGGAAGAGGAAGTTATAAATGGAGAGTTAGAGGTATTGGGAAGATGGAAGGAATTTTTGAGGAATGTTAAATTTGATGAAGATAGGGAAGCTGTGATTTCGTGTATAGGGCAAGGAGGAATAACATCTTGTAGGAGTGAGGAAGAGCCAGTTGTGAGTGTGGGGAAGTTCGTGAGGCAGTAGGTAAAATGAAAGGGGGGAAGGCAGCCGGATTGATGGGATAAAGATAGAAATGTTAA